TACATAATGCACATTCTTCTATAATTCATTTCATCATTTAATATAGTACAGTGGGTGATCAGTTAATGAACAGATAGGATAACAAACAAATTGGATAATGAACACTTTCGTGAAAGATTTTTATGTTCGGACAACGAACACCCCACAGAACAAACACAAGAAGAAGTGACGTAAAATAATAAATACCGATTGGTCTTCCCTTGTGTTTGGGCAACAATCTGAAACTTTTCGGACTGTGTGATGACAATTGAGACATTGACATCAACGCTCAAGCCAGTATATAACTGATCGGATAGTATTCCTCCGAACTTTGAAATTCTTCCTTGTAATTCCAGCCTTTTATTTTTCTGACAAAACAATTCTTTTGTGTATTTGCGAGACTGTCGGGTAGGCACTCATTAAGCTTTGCGCCTGTTTTTCTTTTCGAAAGGTGAGAGTATAATAGCAAAGGTAAAGAGTGGGCAGAAGATGCCTAATGTTGCTGAGCAATATGGTGTGAACAGGTCTACAGTAGGCCTCAGTTCAATCTTATTTAAGAAAAATACTGTATAATCAAGAAGACTCCAGCAGCTAAAGGAGTAACAAAAATCACATCTGAGAAATAAAGAACATCGAAGAGTTCATAATGGAACCTGAAACGGATCTGACAACAGGAGAATGCCAAGAACTCTTGAATGAAGAACACCAAGAAACTCGGCGAGATATGTTTTCTTCTGAAAAAGAGGATTAATGCCAATAGCTGTTATTAAAGATCCTTTGAAGAAGTGGGATAATGTCAGAACAACGGTCTTAGAATGGCATCCAAACCAGGTTGAGGCTTGGGGATCTCTACAATTACAATGCTATTAATTACTTACAAAATCGTGAAGAGAGAAAAGCAATCAACATTAGACAGATTCTTTAACCCTTTCAAACAGAAAAAAAAAAAAACATGACTAATAAATATGCAAGACTGTGTATGTATGTAGTTTTATTATTACATATAAATAAACGTAGTAAGAAAGTATATATTTATTTTTTTGGGGTCTCCAGAATGAATTNACATGACTAATAAATATGCAAGACTGTGTATGTATGTAGTTTTATTATTACATATAAATAAACGTAGTAAGAAAGTATATATTTATTTTTTTGGGGTCTCCAGAATGAATTAATTAAATTCCCATTAAAACCTACGGTAAATCAATAATTGGTTAATGAACAATTCAGATAGCGAACAAAGTCTTGGAACAGATTATGTTCGTTAACTGATCACTCACTGTACTTAAATGAATGTTATGACTTCTTATAAAGTTATAATAGAAGCAAAGCATTTTATAATGAAAAGTACTAATATGTAAACTCACAATTTAACATATTACCTTTTTCTTTGCATTTGGAACACAATGTCAGCACATACAATTATAATAATGTCTCTGTAAGAGACTGCTTTGTCTATAATTTAACAATAACCATCTTTTATACAAAATACTATATAAGATTTTACTTTCTTGAAACCATGTTAGTGATTATTTTTATTGTTTTTGAACACTATATAGTTCATACACACAACACAAAAATTGAAATTTACAATGAAGATTGCCTTGTGTTGTGTATATGAACTATATAGTGTTCAAAAACGACAACTATATAAAATGTTGCACAAATATTGATAAAAACTTTATTGAGTTTAAAATGACAATGTTTTAAGATTCATATACAGTAAGACCCTGCTTAGCGCTAATTCAATATAACTCGGTCTGCTTGAAGCCTAAAAAAAACCTCAAAATTTACACTGATTCAAATTATCACAGCATTTCATTGATTCATATATAATACGATTATTTACAAACACAAACCAACAAGCAAAATGTGGCAATCTGTCATAGCACTGTACTTTCCTTAAATCTACATTTGTTTGGTGCAATTTTGGAAAAAATATATCATGGATGCCATAGGCAATATCAAATTCACTTGGCAAGAATTAACTAATAAATGCTTGGAAGAAGTTATGGCTGAAGGTATCCAAGAATTCTCAATGAGAAGAGCCTATTGCTGCCTTGACAACATTCAAGAACTGGAAGAACAAGGAATTAATGTAGAATTGGAAAATAGTGATTTGGAAAACAAAGAACTTGCTACAGATTTCCTTAGTAAAAGTTTGGTAACAATAACCAAAATCGTTGATCAAATTGCAGCAAATGATCCAGATTTTTAAGTGTGCAAAAGCCAAACTAGGCATTTTGGATGCGATCTCCTGCTACCGACATTTGCTTAACCTGTCACATGTTGTTCCAGAGTATTTTCATGTTGACCTTGTTTGACTTGACCAATTGACCCCAAATTTACTCATTTCTGCATTGGAACATTTTTTTTTTTTATTAAAACGAACTTTCAAAATATAATTTTTAACAGTACAGTAGCCATAATTACATTTAAAAAAAATGTTTTTGCTAGGCTTAACATCAACAAAATTTCAACATGGAATAGGTTAAAAAAAACAACACATGAAACTACACAACTATATCACAAAAAACGAACTTTACATTTCTGTGTGCATATGTTTATGTATTATGTAACACACATTATTATGCAAATTAATATAAAAATAACTTAAAACCAAAGTCAAATTTGTTTATTAATTTGGTTGCGTGTTCCCCTTTCCCTATTTACTCCGTGTTAAAATGACCTTGTTTAACGCTGTTTCGTTTAGTGCTTTGTCGCCCAGGAACACACACCCTGCGTTAAGCCGGGTCTTACTGTATATCTAAAGATTTCAGAGGAAAAATTTCAAAAACATTCTTTATACTATTTAAGTAAAATAAAAACCAACTGAATTGTATTATAACTGAATCAAATTGTCACTTGTGCTTGTCTAATGCCTTTTTCAAATCTTTTTGATACACAGTATTTTTGCATTTCAGTTTTGAAGTTTTATTCTAAAATTTTTGATAACATTTAATTCAGATGACTGAAGAAATTTTAGTCAACTTCAGACAATTTTATAGTAATCATTCTTTGACTAAATACTATTTTTGGGGTTGTCCTGATAGAAGAAATTAATTGCCTAACACCATGTTTTCAGAACTTTCCATCAAATTATTTTTCAAAATATTAAGATACAAACTTGTCCATATCTATAAAATGCAAGTTTCCAACTCTGTACCAAGATATACAATCCTGCACAATCATATTTTCTCTACCATCTTTTGTTCTTGCTTGGAAGTTTTGAAGTTTTCATTCAGTTTTCATAATACATTTATACAAACCTTGACACAAAAACCTTTAAAAATGCAGCTTTTTTATTCACCTTTCCAAATGTTTTTGGCCAGTTTGAATGGCCTTCGTAAGGAACAGAAAAATCGAATGATTCTGATTTCTATAACAGAATTTGTTTTGAAACTTTTAAAAAGTTTGAATTTTCTTAGATGTCTACTGTGAAGGCCTGTACAAAAAGAATTACAATCTATACTGGTTACTTGTACCAATATTCATAAACTATACATACATACATACAATACATGAATAAATAAATAAATACATTAACACAACTTCTAATATAAATAAAATAAGTAAGTAAATAAGTATATAAATACATTAACATGACTGCTAATATAAAGAAGGCCACCATTGTGCCTACTTTTTTAACTGTTCATTGCTTTTTCTATACTAAAATATTCATGCCTGCTCTCATTGCCACTGAGATTTTACTACACACTCTGAAGTTTATTGCTGATCCTTCCTGGTTTGTCTTGTATATTTGCCACGTTTCAGCATATTTGAGGTGTCTCTTGTCCTGGATATTTTGCATTATTTTAGCTCTTTCCCAATCCACTACGACTTCTGTCGGATGCTATAACAAACATTGCTAGTGCAGTGACTGGCTGCTTGTTCTGTATGTTCCTTTTATGCTCTTTTAGTCTTATTTGTTTATTCATAATATTATATGTATGTATGTATAGTTTATGTGTATATTGGTACAAGTAACCAGTACAGATTGTAATTCTTTAGTACTAGCCTGTGCAATAGACATCTAAGAAAATTCAAACGCTTAAAAACGTTCAAAACAAATTCCGTTATAGAAATTAGAATCATATGATTTTTCTGTTCCCGAGGAAAGCCATTCAAACCGGTTGAAAACATTTGGAAAAGCGAATAAAAAGGATGCACTTTTAAAGGGTTTTGTGTCGAGGTTTGTGTATTATGTAAATACAGTTAGAGAAGAGTACTATACATTTAATGTCCATCTGACTGCATAAGATTGAATTTACTATCATTAAAGATTATGATTTTCCAGTAATTTTAAACAACAAAGGAATCTTTATTTACATTTTCCTTTGCAAATTTCAATCATAGCCTTTTATTCCTCTAAGGTTAGACTTTTTTTGCTAGCTTTTTCATTTCTTAGCACTCTTCCTAATTTTTGGTCTTACTTTTTTTCTAAATACTTTTCAATTTCACTAACTTAGGAGTACTCAGCTTGGGATTTTTAGGACCTTTTCTCATAATCCATCTTTCATCACATAAATTTAGCCCAAATATCTTTGCACTAAATCTATTCTTTCATTCAATTCTCTTGTCTTGTATATTAAATGCTGCAAGTTTATTAACCATTTCAGCAATTTGTCACATATTTTTTGTTTTGATAAAAAGAAATATAATCAGTTTTTGCTCTTCAATTATAGTATGAAATCCCATCTGGATGCAAACAGCAAATATAATAATAAATACAACAAATATGATGGATCTTGCAGTGTGTAATACTCATAAGTTACAAGACTTGTCAGTCTCATTTTAGTATAAATTTGAAAGTAATTCTGTTAATTGTATATTATTTCATTTAATTAAAAAGTTAAATAATCAAAATATTAAAGCAAAAATATCCGTTATGCACACGAAATAAAGCGAAATCTTGGATATCTTTTCTAATAGTCTAATATATTCGAAAAACGAAATTACGCAATTTCAATTGTGATTTTAAAAAAAAGACATTATAAATACGTCACCATTAATATTCTTACCTTGTACCATCTGGTACATTTCGGACAAATAAAGATGAATTTGGAGGTCTCGAATAACGAGACATTATACATCGAATTTTGCCGTAACTGCAAACAAAGAAAGCTCGAATGTCAAAATGGCGAAAGTGAACTGCACGAGACGACGGTATAGTCTCGTACCCAAAATTAAATGAATAAAATTATTTTAAAATTATAATTACAATAATAATATTTTAAATTTTTTAAATATATTGTGACGAATTTAAAACGGAAAGTTTTAATATTATTTTAAGTTCGTGCAATACTGTATAATAAAGTGAAATGAAAAAAAAATTATTCGGTTTGATAAATACAGTTTTATGAATCGATTCAAATCAAATATTCAGAATTGATTATTATATCTAATCTATCTTATTTGTAAAAATTATTTATTATTTTTAAAAATCCGAAACTTATAAAATACATAAAAGGAAGAATATTTCTAGAATAACATCCGTATATAGTTATTCTGAGGGTGAGCTGAATCGCGGCCGGATGGCCGAGCGGTCAAAATGGCAGCCTACCGCTCTGGAGGACCCAGATTCAAATTCGAACGGGTCGAAAAATCCCCAGGAATCTTTTGGGAGTTGGTTCGTTCAGATATGTCAAGCCCCGTCCCTCACCACCCGGCAGCCCCATTGTGGGTCTGGCCGAACCCATAATGGGCTTGCAAAAAGAGGCCCTCTTAGTGCTCACAGGGCGGAAAGAGTTAAAAAAAAGAGGGTGAGCTGAATATATATCGTGCTTCCATTAAAAGATCAGAATTCAATTTTCCTTCGAGCAGACTTTTCATCGCTTAAAATGCTTAAAGTGAAAATATGAAACTCGTAAGAAGAATAAAATTAATTAAGACCCAATTACACAAGGTTAATTGCTGATCTTAAAAAAATAGGTTTTAGATATTGACCAACGGCCGGATGGCCGAGCGATCAAAGTGGTAGCTTATCGCTCTAGGTATCCGGGATCGAATCCTGATGGGTCAAAAAGTTCCCAGTAATTTTTCGAGGGTGGTCTGGTTCGAATATGTCTGGACCCGTCTCGCCCCACCAGGCCGCCCCATTGTGCCCTGGTCGAACCCATAATGGCTTGCTAAAAGAGATCCTCTTAATGCACACAGGGCAGAAAGAGTTTTAAAAAGTTTCTATATATAAAACAAAACTAATGCATTATACTGCACATATAAGACAATATTTTGTTTTATACGTGCGGTACATGTTTTCTTCATGTTTCAAACACTTGGAAGATGTAAGCGCAACCTAGTTTTGAGCCTCCTTGTTCTAAATACTATGTAATTCTATCAAATCAATTTATTACTTAATATAAAATACAATCATTTGCTTAAAAGTATATCTCTAAATTTTTACATGAATATGATATTTGTACCTGAGACTTGGAATTGCATTTCTTTTTGAGACTGCTAACATTCGAAGGCTCCAAGAGAGCGTTTCTTGCGCCTGTATTCTGATCGCTACTACGTTTATAACATCTAAATATAAGTCCTCCTGGGATCTCAGGACATCTCCTCGCAGCTCATGCGTGTGTCGCGTTGCCATACACAAACAAAACAAATCGTGCCTAACCAACGAACTGACCGCGTAAGGTTTTCCGAATTCTTTTCATGTATCTGATGGTCGGTTCTCGCCACACGTCATAGAAAGAGAAACAATTAAAACCACCGCGGATAAAACTGTAGTGGATTCCATTGACATGGCTTCGGTTTTGTAAGTTTTTCTCAAAAGTTTTTAGCGTATCGTTGTGACTGTAGAAAATAGATTCCAACATTTAGAAATCATTTGCTGTTTATCAGATTATGTTAACTGCTGCATCAACGTAAGAAAATTATTAACCCAAATCGATGTGAATGATCAAAAGTACTCACTATATAGATTTTTGCCGTTCTGTAAATATATCGACATTTCTTATTTTCTCTATTTTCTGTCGCGGTTCTGTTCAAATGGAAATCCTAATTACGGACTAAATTATTATATAAAATCCTAATATAAAATCCAACATGACAAATTAAGTTTTATTTTATTTATGCTAGCCGGACGGGTCGAAAAAATCCCCAGGAATTTTTCGGGGGTGAATCGTCGGGAAATGTCAAATCCCGTCCCTCACCACTCGGCCTCCCCATTGTGGGCATGGACAAACCATAATGGGCTTGCTAAAAGAGGCCTTCCTAGTACCCACAGGGAGAAAAAAGTTTTAAAAAAAAGGCAAAAAGATTTTAAAACATTAAATTAATTTTACTGAATTATCAACTATTGAGCATTTATTATTATTTGTGATTATATTACATATTTCAACTAAGTTTTTGTTAGAAAATCTGGCTGTTCCATTGTGGATCTGGCCAAATCCGTGGTGGACATTATTAAATATAAAGATCCTCTTAGTTCCCGGTCCCGATTCTTTCTTAATCTAGCTTTATTTTTATTTTTATTTATTTATTTTTAATTTTATTTTTCTATTTTCGCTGAAAAAAAAGCGGAAGAAAAGAGCAAAACAACAACAACAAAAACGGTTAGCCTATGGCTAGATGTAACTATTAATTGGTTCATCGTCACTGATTACATGAAACCATCACGTAGCACTCACTACACACGACCAGAGAACATGACGCGCGACCAAAGATTACAATGCATTAGTACATGTAAGATTGCGAGAATAGTTGGCGCAAACTTTTTACAAGTTTTAGAACAATAGTAATACTAATTAAGCGACAATTAACTTTTGAAAAATGCACATTAAAAGTGTTTTATTCGGAAGACACATTGATAAATACCACAGACTTAATTTTTGAGAATATCTGATAATTTATAAAAACTATCGCAACATTCTTTATCGTTTTCTTCTACATACATAGCTTTGCCTGACGACAAACCTTGGTAGAATCCCAATGAATTCAATGCTTCCTCGCATCTAAATTAAGTTTATAACAGATGCTTGATCTCATGAGTTTTGCAGCGTTTAGCGAAAATATTTTATGCTGATAGTTGTTTACATTAGGAAACAGATAAAACATAAACCATGACTAACGCAGGACCAAACTAACAAGTAGGCTAAGTGAGCATCATGACTTCGTCTGTCGAAAAATTATGAAGAACGTTTTATTTTCTTGTTTAACTTCGAGTATTCGTTAGAAAACATACATAATATGCACATGAAAGGGGCAGCAGCGCCAAATTTTGGTTTTAGAAGCTGAATTTTAAATTAAATTTTTTCCCAAAAATTGAAACCACATACTCAGGACGATAAGTATATGAAATTTGTTTGAGATTTCCCAACAGTTTTTTCTACAGAGTGGTCTAAACACCTACTCTTTAATTATGATTACCCTGTATATCATGGGGTTCTGGATGCTTTCTCCTATCGCTATAATGAATCTAGAATCGAATATTTTGTATCGTCATAAATTTTATGCTATTCTAAAACTCATATTGATCATTTATTTAATGTTTCAGAAATCTCATTTACTCGTAACATTTAATTTGAAAGCAATGCTTTCTACAGTCTTCAATACTTCCTGCATTAACAGTTCAATTTAAAATTTGAATTGCTAATGCCACAAAGTATCGTACTGTGTTATATGTTTCATTACTAAAACTTTAACATTTTTATCATCTTCATTATTCTATTTAGTTGTAGGGAAAGTGGCTTTTCATGATTTTCGTTAACTTTGCTGCAGGTGTCTTTTCTTCCTCTGATTAATATTGGTAATAATAAGCATCTTCATAATTCTGTTTTTACCTATTTTTAAAGAGCGATTTATCATTTTTTTTCTATACTTAACTGCGTGATTACAGAGACAATTTTAAGATTTTGATTTATTTTGTTGTTTGATATTTGCCTTTGAGCCCGAGGACAACTGTTCGATGGAAGAATCTCTTTCCCATGAAATAAAAGTTTGTATATTATTTTATATATTTTTATCTTGTACATCTGTATGTTTTATTAAATTTAATGCTATAGCTTTTATAATAAAACATAATTATGTCATAATACAATAATTATAGATGATAATAAAACAAATGATAAAATCATCCATTTGTTACTTCTTAAAATTCATCAAATATTTGTGAAATAAATAATTTTCTTTTGCCGTATTAATACTGTATAAAAGCAATATAAAGAATATTATATTATCATAATAAAACAAAAGTAATAATCTTCATTTTTAAACATTGATATAATGGAAAGGTTTGGACGAAGAATATTTAATTTAATTAACATAGGCAAGTAATTCAAGCAATATGTTATTAACTCTAATTTATTTTTAAAAAGCTTTTTAAAATTTTATTTCTTTTTATAAATATAATATATACAAAGCTATTGAAAATTCTACCATATATTTTTCATTTAACCAGTCTCATAAAAAAATATAATTATTGTATAATTGTAGATATCATTTCAATTATTTCCCATTATTCTTACCACTGGGGTCACTTTTAACTTTTATTTAATATTTTAAAATTTATATTTAATTTATTTTACATTATAATTTTAGAAAGTCGAAAGATATTTTCTTGTGTACATGTATATGTAATTTGTTTTCAGTAAAGGTATTATATAAAATTGTGCGTTGGCGTTTTAATAAATACATGCAAATTTATATAATTCATAGCTGATAAATTTACATCTGAAGCTAGTTTTAAAATTTTTAAATAAAATTTTTAAAAATATTATATTTTCTTAAAATTACTTTCAAACATATTTTAATATTTCTAATTAGTTATGAAATTTTTACATGATATATTTAATAAATCCTAATATTTTGAGAAAAAAG